GGACGTGACGGGAGGCCCCGCCCCCAACCCGGCCGGGCTCCGCGCGTCCTTCCCGGGCAGCCAATTGGGGACGGCTGTGGTGGTTGTCGTTTTGTCACCCTTGGTAGGTCCCTCGCGTGCTTTTGTCGGTGATGTCTTACCGAGACCGCCTGCAGAGCTGTTTTTGTAGGTGTTGCCATTATTTTTTTCAATACAGTGTACTTTTCTTCTTATTGTGAATATTCTTCTTATTGAATATAAATGTATTGCAGTATCTATTCATTGTAGCAAATCTCGATAGGTCGAAGAAGTAAAAAAGAAAAAAAAAACCTTTTTATCATTCAAGAGTCCCTCCTCCTAGAGATTGCAAGTTACTATCTCCTAGACATAGTAAGTTTCTGTAGTTCCATTCATTTTTCTGTGATATATTCTCTGATAAAATATATATATTTTTTTACCTTATGGACTGTTTTGTAACCTTAGTAGCACACTGAACGTTGAGGATTTTCTCACTAATGATGGTTTAAAAGCATGATTTTCAGTGATTTCCTGTCTTCCACGGAAATGCATGCCCTGCACTTTTTTTAAACCGTGTTGGTTTTGATAGATCTTTATCTTGTTTTCCATGCTAAAGTTTTGTAAACCACACTTGTATAATCCCTGCCCCTTTCTCAGAAAGGTTCCACGGAGTAAATTCCAAGGGGTGAAATTACCAGACCAAAGGGTATGAACTGTTTGACTCATGATCTGGATGCCTTTTCAGCTTGACCTTGCTGAGAGATGCTTCCCCATGGTCGATTCCAAGTGGGGGCATGGCTGGAGAGAGTAGATACTGAGAAACAAAAATGAAATGTTAAGCTTCCCCAGCTAACGAACAGACCCCCTCTTGACCAAAGGGACCACAGAGAAACCTTGGAAGCTTGATTTCCCGGCCACAAGAGATGGGAGGTTGAACAGGCCTGGTTACCCCTCCCTTGTTCATTGCCATTAGGCTTTTTGTCCTAAAGGTTAAACAGAAACCAACCCTTTTAAATAACTAGCTTGATCCACTGACATCAACCAACCATCTGACACTGCCCCTCCCTTTTTGCAATTTCAACACAACTGACTAGTATTCCTTCCTTATAAGAGACCACCGACCACAAAGTGGTTCTGTCCAACCCAGGGAGGAAGCACAGTGAGGGTTTTTGTGTCCTCTGCTTCACCTTTTGATGTCAGAGGACCAAAATCTCCACTCTCAGATCATGCTAACCGTGCCACTTCATGCAATCGATGAAGAGACATGAAGCTCAATTGTACATGTACGTAATTCTCCTTTCATAAATATTCATGACTCCTCCTTTAGCTTACTGAATGTGTATGTTTGGCCGCCCCAGTCAACATAATTCCCTGTCTTACACTTCTGACCTTTGACCTTCAAGGTGTCTGTTTCTGGTTTCTGGCTGGAGGCTACACTTCCCAGCCTGTCAGTATGGCCACCCTGTAGGGTGCAACCCTTTATGAGAAATATAGCTCTCCTTTCCAAATTCATGAAACTTGGCATTCTTTAGTTGACAATACCCAGCATGCTAGTCTTTGGAGGATGTAATCTTTAAGGAGGCTGAAGCTGGCAACCACCTGCACTCCTCAGGCAGGCCTGGAACAGAGCTGGATTCACTCACGCCTACGGTTTTCTCTGGGGAATTAAGCATGAGGATGTTGTTATTGAGCAAATGGGCCCACTGTCTGATGAACACAGAAGCCAATAACTATGGCACCGGTTTTTGAGAAAAGAAAGGCTTTATTGCAAACCCAGCCAGCAAAGAAACCAAAGACAGGCCCAAATCTGTCTCCCCAATTTAGGGTCTGGGGAATGTTTCAAGGGATCAGAGGGCAAGGGAAAGGACTTAGGAATGTTGATCTTGGCAGGGTCTGATTGGAGAGTTTCAAATTTGACCATTTATGATAAGATATGTTGAGGCAGATTTTAGTCTCAGATCTTCCAGGCCACTTCTGATTTTTGGGTGTTCAGGTTCTGGTCATGTTCGGTCTTCTTGGTTCTAAGGGAAGGAATCATTGGTTCTAGGTGTTGTGAGAGGCCAAAGATTTTTCTGTTGCTCATGCCCAGGCCACATAACTTGCAGTTTGGGCCTCTGTTATACCTAAAAAGTAGCTCAGTATTTTGCTATCAACAGAGTAGGCCTATTTACAATGTCAGAACTTGGAGAGGATAATTGTACCCCATGTATCCAGTGTACTAAAGTGTGTACCTTTTGTGACCAGCTGAAAACTTCTACAGCATGAAGCAAGAAGCAAGAAGGGAAAGAAGGAAGACTGTGTGTCCCTAAATTGCTTCCATGAGACCTTTCCAGTCAGATGGAAAGCAGCATTAACTTTGACTGAGGTCAATGACTTTGAAAGCAAAAATTGGCCCGGAGTCCTCTAGTCTTCCCAGTTCTTTCAGACACACATAGGAATTCTGTCCACTTCTGTGAGTCATCCATCGGTCTCTGTGCCCTTCATGGTAGGGCTCTACCTTCCCAGGCCCTGGTACTGCATACATGAGTGAACTGTCTGCTGCAAATCCAGATGTGGTTGACACCATACACCTCAAGCTTCCAAATGCATTGAATATAATTTCAGAAATGACAAGACATGAAATTGAAGAAACATATACTTTATTGATATTTCACCTTATTTCCAATAGGATATAAGGTGACAGCCCATAAAAATAGAGCAAAATAAAAATTAAAAGAATTTTCTAAATAAGAAAAATGAGAGAAGAATATTTGGCTTCTGTTCCAGATGATGCTATGATTCAAGCAGTGAGATGCCTGTCTCTGCTGCGGACACAGAACAACAATAAACTATACCAAAAATATATATAGATAGAGAGAAAGGATATAGGTAGACTTGAAAATAAGATAAACTTCACTATGGTCCAGAAAAACAAACTGCTGAGTATTGGCAAAGCCAGGGACCTGCTGGGCTCTGTGTTCTGAGGTATAAGAGAGACATAAGACTGGCAACAGAGCCAGGCTTCCTATTTGAAGCCACGGACTGGGGAAAGACGAGTCGTCCCTATGTCAAAAATCAGATTCAGTAATTTCATGAAGATAACAGTTTATGTGAAGGTGTGGCCCTGGGACAAGGACATACACAGACACAGTCTCATGAATCTTATAACCCTGGCTTGACAAGCATACCATAGAGGGTCAGGATTCTGAACCACCAATAAAAAACATATTTCTGTATTGCAGACCAGGTATCAAATGGAGAAGCCCCAATCTGCTGGATGGGGGAAAGGGGTACGGAGAGAGAGAGAGAAAGCCTTTCAACCCAAAATGAGCCTAAAACTCAAAACTCTGAAGCCCATGAAGACATCTCATGCTAAGAATAACAGTCAACAAATATCAACAATCATAATATGAATTAACTCCAGATGAAAGTAAAATAATAAACTAGTCTTATAAAAAGACATTAGAGTAAGCATATCTGAGATGCTGACTGAGAACAATGAAGAAATAATATCTGTAAAAAGAACAGAGATTGTGGAGAAAAAGTAGTACCAAGATCATGTAGCTGTGAAAAAAGAACCTTTTCAAAGAACACAGTTGATTTCCACTTCCAGGAAGATGGCGTAGATACACCTTTGCCTATTCTATCCACAAAATACAACTGGAAACAGAAAAAATCCTACAAGATTCTAACAGGTAGAGAGAAGGCAACAGACTGGCTAGGAAGCTCAGGACCCGAGGAATGATATGGTGGTGAGTGCTTGGGTTTTCTTTTGCTCATATATCCCAGACTCAGAGCTGAAGAAGTCAAGTCAGGAGCCTGGAAATGCCAATGGATATAAACAAAACACACACACACACACACACACACACACACACACACACACCCCTGCACCTCTCTCTCCCAAAAGCCTGCTTTTTCTAGCCAAAAAAACAGGAAAGGGCAACCTAGCAAGACAGAAAACTTTTAGACAGTAGCCACTCTACTCCAGCCAAACACTGGCAGTACTTCTCAAGTTTATATACAGATTGAATGCAATCTCTATCAGATTTCCAGCTGCCTTTTTACAGAAACTAACATGCTGATTCATATAGAAATTCAAAGAACCTACAGTAGCCAAAACAAAGTTAAAGAACTAAGTTGGAGGGCTCACACTTTGCAGCTTCAAAACTTATCTACAAAGCTATAGAAATTAAGAATGTGTAATACTAACAGTTCAATGGAA